CCAGTTGACATTAACCCTTTTCTATCAATCTAAGCATACATTGGGCAAATAATACCCATAACTGTTTTTATTTGTTTCTTGTTGAAATTAAGGGACAACATTATGTAAGTGTGTACATTGCAAGGCTGTTTGATATGACACTTATTGCAGCCTAAAACACCCACAATGATTCCCGATTTCCATTGCAGTGAACCGTTCATATAACAACAAATCCGAAAAATCCAGCATTCGGCTCCAAGAGTAACACTGAAAATGTGTCGATCTTTCAAGATCAAAACTTGCTCAAGAAATCAAAAGTTTGCATTCAAAACACACCTCATGGCCAGATCTTGCTGTTTGGCTGGAAGATGCCTTCTCGCTTTATCCGCTAGCCCTTGTNCAGAGGCTTGCTTCTACTCACATTCCAGCTTAATGATGCTGTCCTGAGGGTTTCTGTAGAGGGAAAATGGCTCGAAAAACACTTATAAACGTGAGAAAACGAATCGATTTGAACGTATCCAAACACGAGCGGGGGATCTAGGCCATGTGCCCCCAAAGTCTGAGCCCACGGTGTCTCAAAACTGCAAATATTGTAAGGGTAATTCATATAAAGACAAACAAAGTGAGCTTAAGTTTTGTATGGCCAAATTATAAGGTTTTTTGCCGGACGGTAAAGAGTTAAGGGTCTGTGATTCCTAGAGGAAGCACAGGTACCTGAGATGTTATCTTCCTCACAGTCTTGACAAGCACAAGTTCTCAAATATTATTTCTCTCTCTTGCTTGCCATCATACCCTGAATTATTTGCCAAGAAAAGTGTTTAAGCAGTTAATACTCTTGATATATACTTGAACACTGTTCAATAACAAAATGATATTGCAACACAATAGACCTCTTCCATAACAAGGTCAAATAAGCATGAAACTACTTTGAATAAAGGCTGATAGTTTCTAAAGAAACTGTTTGGGGCTTCTACCATAAATATCCCTTGCATGAGAATCGAATTTTTCAAGCCCACATTGCCTTTACAATAGGTAGCAACTGCAGTACATCCTATTGTCAAGACAAAATTATTGAAATTTTTGGCTATAAGTGAAAAAGGCTCTATTCTAAGGAGGTACAGTACTGATATCCTTCTATTGTAGCTTCTTGACGAATAGTGCCAGTGTAACTTTCACTGTATTGAAGTTCATAGTCAGTCTCGAACACATTTAAAAGTGTGGGTAATTCTGTTTGCATTAAAAATGATCGTCTGGCTAACTGAGACAAACTTGAATACAACTGATTTCCAAAATTGATTATTGACACCAGATCATTAGCAGAATTGATTCCATGTTTGTTATTGTAAATCAAAGAACATAAACTCATTGCAACACACTGTTGTCCTGAATTTTGTCCAAATACCAACTCATTAGCTTGGCTATATGGTGCCGTTATAGTTTTACCAGGGTCAATGTAGATTGGAGTAGGACCAGGGTTTTTCTCTATATCTGAACTCAGTTGGTATTTACAATAGTTTGATACGTGTCTGACTCTTACAAAGACACATGGGTCTATTACAAGAAAACATTGATAAATACCGACCTGCTCTATACTTCAATTTAATTATCCTTTGATATACCCACACAGAACAATTCAACAAATACTTCTTCTCATGTTGTGTAACTTTATATGATCTTATCCTCTTCGTATTAACCTT